GATTATTTTCAAATTATGAATACCTATTGAGCTACCGAAAACTTTTGTGCAAATAAAAACACGGATACAACTAAATGAGATACTGAAAGTTCCGAAAAATCTTGCTGACGTACTACTACTCTACCAGATTAATTTATATTTTACCGAAAACTATTGCTAACCATTTTTATTGTAAATCATCTATTTTAAATTTAAAGGCGACCCTATACATTTCATTAAAGTAGCAGTAGAGCTCCTTGTGAAAGAGTTCGTCCAGGGAAGTACTGCCACCTTACCTATTTCTGCCGCCAAGCAGTAATATGAGTCAATGAAGGTGCTGGTGAATTTATAAGCACATGGGACTTGTCAATGTATGTAAAAAAAATGCCGGTGCTTGTTTTTAAACTATTCCATCATATGGAAATACTGTTATGAGTGGCAATATAAGACATACATCGATGAGTTAATATTTCTTTCGTAATTTTAGTATATTATTTGGAACTACAGTCTTGGACAAGTACTTGATTGTTAGCTAATTATGATTAATTTTGTATTTCCTGTGTTTATTTCTCAGTAACTCTTTTAATGCAGCTTAACTGCGATTTCATTTGCTCTTTCGGAACCCTTATTAATTGTAAAAAAGTTTGCCATTTTTAAGATTTATTTCAAAATTTAGGGACAATCAGATGGGCAGTGGGGTCAAACCTAATCAACCAGCCCGGGTTTTTAACCCAACAGCCAGGTTTTAATCCCTTTCTGCCTAAAATTAAATGAAACGACGAATTTGGTGAAATCCCATACTTGTTGCAAATTTCGATGTAAAAATCTTTCTTAAGACGTAAAAGTGGCAACTCCACACAATACTCACCTTACAATCCTGTGGATTCTCACTACTAAGGATGCACGTCACGATTAGATTTTCACAGAAATTGATTCAATTGCATACGATCTAACGATTTTATTCATTGAGTTAATTCAATGCGATTTTAAGCGAACCGATCTAGATCAGAAAGCAATAATAATACCATTACATTTGAACAAAACTCGATTTACAACAACTATTTAAATGTAAATAGTTTTTGCCGTCGATTTTGGGTATTTTTTCTTCATTTCGTTCATTTCATTTTATTCGTTCGTTCAGTTCATTTCATTAATGAGTTTTACTCGATTTAAACAAAGCGCCATGTTAAAACCACGCTAGTCCATCTCTGGAGACATCAGAGTAAAAAAGTTCATTGATCACCCCTAAAGGAATGTCAGTACAAGGACACTATAGTGCCTAAGGTTATTATTATTACCGACCGTTGCACTTCCACCGGTCTAAGTAAAACTGTCATCGAAAGTTTATCAATTAATGCATTTGCAAATTGTCTACAAGTATTTTTTAGATGCAGTAAAATGTGTTGAATTAGTGAACTTAATTGTAATCTTTTCAAGTTCTGCTTGTGAATAAATAGTTACGAATAATAATGTACGTTGTTTACTACGTTAGCCAAACCTCGACGCCAGAGTTTCTTAAACTTTTTCTAGTTATGGACCCCTCTCAATATTTCAAAGTGCCCACGGACACTTTCCGAAAATATGAAGAAGAAAGGCTCGCGTGTTAATATGACGCGCGTCTCGCTCACTCCAATAATGGATGCCCGTCAAGCATATAGATATATAGATAGCGAGAATTCGAGTCCGATCACGACCTCGTCCATGAACCGCTGGAACGTCTGTCCAGCGTTTCGGAGCCCGAAAGTCATGAACGGAAACTCGTACAGCCCGAAAGGTGTCGTGATTGCCGTTTTGCAAATATCACCTGTGTGGACGGGTATCTGTTGCTACCCTTTCACTAAGTCGATAGTACTGAAAATAGTGCAACCTGCAAGGCTGTGGGAAAAAAGGAAAGGTTCTGGCGTTCAGGGCGCGGTAGTCCTCGCACGGGCGCCAGCCATTTTCTCCTTTTCTTGTGCAAAAGCGAAGCCCAAGGGCTGCTTGAGAACCGTGCAGTCCCAGACTGAATCATATCGGTAAACTCCTCTTTCGCAACTTTTGAGGTGCGAGACGGCGAGGGCGATAAGATACAGGAGGACCATCTGTAGTGGTAATGCAATGTTCTGTCGAATGTTTTATTTCCCTAGAAATACCAGGTGGTCTCGTCACCACAGGAAACTCCTGGAGAATTTTTGTCCAAAATGAGTCGCAATCAGAAAAAATTGTCTTGACGCTGACTTGGTTTATATTAGCCAATATAGCTTGCACAGACAGTTTTGTACTGCCGTCTACCAAATGTTCCTGGTGACAATCAGGTAAGAGGTGAAAATGGGCCAAGAAGTCGGATCCAATTATAGCAGAAGCTACATCCGCAATGTCAAAATTCCACCTAAATTCCCGGCGTAAACCTAAATTAAGGCAAAGAGTGATAGTGCCATATGTTTTTATAGCACTTCCATTAGCGGCGCGAAGGTCAAATCCATAGAACTGTAAGAGCCCTTGAGGAGGCGTCGCGGGAAACAGCAAATATCTGAGCTAGTGTCAATCAAAAATCGACGGCCAGTTCTAGAGTCTGTAACAAACAAACGGCAGCCGGGGTTGCTGCAATCAGATGCCGCCTTCACTGACCGCTCTTTCCGTTTCCCTGCTGGTCGGGTTTCCAATCACATGGGCTGTTGCAATGGCTCGCCTTATTGGCAAACCTCTTATGATACCAACATAGCCGCGGCCCTCAGCGAGGGCGGGATGTTGACCTCGACGGGGACCTAGACTGGGAACGCCTGTTAGGCGTAAAAGAACGTGCGCGGTCGTTGCTGAGGGCGTTGACTTTTTTATTTAGCTCTTCAATGGAGTGCAATATTGCAGACAAATCCGTTGACGGCCTAGCTTTAGCTTCGTTTACCACAAAGGATGTAGATGACGCGACGGGAGAGTCTCCACTATAGTGTCGGCAATTTCGGCCACCTTCTCCAAAGGTAAGTCCATTTGTGCCATTAAAATCCGTTGCACTTCAGTAGGGAGCCGGCGCATCCAAAGTTCACGCAATATCATCAATAATCATCACCAACGCCAGTACCAGCCAAGGAACGCAGGTGTCGAAGAAAAACAGGGTTTCCGATCGCCCAACTGTTCATCACTCAACAGTTGCCGGACACGCTGTTCCCTTGTAGTCGAAATACGTTTAATAAGCTCGGTCTTTAGGTACAAATATTTATCTTTTTCAGGTGGTTTGGCAATGAGGTCTTGGACTTCATCAGCCATACGGTCATCAATTTTTGACAAAATGTATCCATATTTAGTAGCATCCTGTGTAATATTTGCAATCTCAAATTGTACCTCTGCTTGCGCAAACCAAATTGTTGGTTTGTCGCGCCAAAACTCAGACAACTTAACAGAGACCCCCATAACATGGGGGTCAGGATTACCATTCTGATTTTGATTTCTTTTAGATAACGCGTCAATTTGCAATTGCAGTTGTGCTAATTGATGCTTTAATTCTTCCATTTTCAAAAAAAAATATTCACTTAATACTTAAAAAGAATAAAATTGGAGTGACTTATAAGTGAGAACCGACAGTAGCCAACAAATGAATTCCACTGTGTTATAAGTGATAACTCAAAATAATTAATTAAACTTAACACTAACTAATAAACGCCTTGACTAACCTAATATGCATTTAATGTCCAATTATTATTAATATAAAACTATTACTAAACAATTATTAACAGAAATACCTAGTCCGTTAAACTAAAGACAGAGAATTGTAATGTGATGCTGTATGCAATGCAAGTATACACAATCAAACAGGCAAATGAAACACCAGTTTTATATGTATATAAACAAAAATAATAAAAAAATACGTAGACATTTAATTCTCCAAGCAGTGGGAATATTGTCCAAGCAGAGGAATAGACACAAAGTTCACTAACTTAAGTAGTTTGTAAAATTTAATTTATCGTAGCTGTTACTCCGGCGACGACGATATTAGCGCGGCGGCACCACAGCGGCGTGGCGCACCCGGACCGCGTCGCAGTGAAAACAACAGGGGCTTTTGTAGCAGGCCTGCAATACACAGGCTGAATCTCACTAGGGCCAAGTCTCAGTGGCACAACCAGAAGCAGAGACACCTGAACAGTCGCCTATGTCACAATTCACAATGCACTTTGCCAAAATATCTTCTTTGACTTTGATTCAATTCAAAACTTTACAGTAACGTTGGAAATCACAGTAGAGAATTACTCGTAATGCTTGTGTCGCTCGTAACGTCGATTTATTAAAACTGTTCAACAAAATCGACCAGTGTTGTCTAACGCCACAAGAATCACAGGAGAACTCCAAGAAGTTGTAAACTGCCAATTCTTTTTCAACTTTTCATAACCCGAAACTCCATTTGTAACAAAACCACCATTTTTTTTTATAACTTGAGCGTCGGGGTCACCAATGTCGGGTTCTTGGACGTGAATTAAAGAACACCGATCTTATAGTAGTTTGTATATTCACTACAAAAGACGCAAGATTGTTTTACAAGTTTGAAACCAAGTTTTTCACACACGGAGCCGCCATGGCATTCTCTTTTTCACCTCTTATTGGTCAGCGGTGCTCACAAGCGCCGTCTCACAGTGGAATGAACTTGAGGGCGCGCGAATTTAAATATGGTTCGCTACAAATCTAATGAGTAAGGAAGACACTGACGCGTGTCAGAATCAGTCTCCTACCCTACCTCGATGGGAAAAAGGCTTACATCATCAGCAGATCTTATAGTAGTTTAGTATATACATTTACGAGGACTTGTATATCTTCGTTAGTTTTTGTGCGATATATCTTGCGTAGGTATTTTAAACAAATTTTAGTGTGTATAGGTAATCGAGGATCGTGTAAATTAATTATTTTTTTCATTTTCATGTGTAATAAAAACATTCCACTATTACGTGGTCTATTACTACACGAAATATTCGTTTTTAAAGATAAAAATCTAATAGTTAAAATACACGTCAGGACCGTTTTTAACAAGCAATTACGATAAACAACACAGAACCAGAAGAATGAAAAACACCAAACTGAGACGTGCGAACAACGGAGCAAGTAAAAATTTTGAAATGAATAATAATTTGACAAATATTACTTGTATAATTTTATTTATAATATTCAGCACGGCATTTTATCTAGTAATGTCGTTCACGCCGATTACAAAAGAAGAACATGTGAAGAAATATCAAGACATGCAGGCACAAGTGGAACCTTTTAGGAAAAACATTTCAGAATGCGCGCACCAAGTTAAGGCTTCCATGGTAGATATTGAAACATTCCTAAAACGGGTGCCCCAATCGACCATGCAGGGGAAATGCTTCATAGCTTGTATTCTCAAAAGAAATGCTATAATAAAAAACAATAAAGTAGACGTCCAGAATCTCATAGCAGCGAATAAAGAAGTTTATGGTGAAGACAGCGAAGTTCTAGTTAGACTTAAAACAGCCGTAAACGAGTGTCTTAAAGTAGTTGATGGCATTTTCGAAATTTGCGAATATGCATCTATTTTCAATGATTGTATGCACATGAAGACGGAACATCTTCTTGATAAATTGACGATGGAAAGGCGCATGGAGGCCCTTGGGCAGATGACTTCGGACCCTGATGTGTGGAGTGAAGAAGAAGACGAAATGTTAAGACTTGCAAAAGACGAATTATGAATCGTAAAAATATTATTATTCAGTATAGAATCTCACGACAATTGAAGAATGTGAAAATGAGAGATGTCTTTATTTGGAGTTTACTTCAAGGTCTTAATACTACTTACGAGTTAACAATTTATTAGGTACAGTAAGTTTGTTGGTGTCCGTCAGGCTGGCTGGACCAAACGAGATATACAAATCAAACTGTGCTCATTATTTACTACCCATTTTCTACTATTTAGTACCTTTATTGACATAATTTCTACCTTTGCGCTAATTTAAATTAAAGAAATAAAGTGGCCAGACATTCTGACGTCAGGTCGGCTGGACCACTTTACGTTTATCATGGCTCTAACAGTATATAATTTACTTTTATTATAGAACTATTTACTACCTTCTTAAACGTACTTTTTTCACTATTTTAGGAAGCATCTATAAAAAGTTATTAAAAAAAACTCCTTCGCAAAAGGTATCTTCTAAAAAGACAGTTTATCTTCTCCGCGTAATTGCTTTTTAAATAACTTATTATAATTCGTTCGCATTCCTTAATACCTACAAATGAAATTTACATTTGTAGTAGTGAATTCAACTAGTAATTAATATAATAATAGGTATAAAATATTGCTTGCAAAGGTAAGCCAGAAACCATTGGTGGCATATTCTAAGCGCCTGCAAAATTATTGTTACTGCAATTACACACAGATGATAAACTGTTTTTTTAGAAGATACCTTTTGCGAAGGCGTTTTGTTATTTTTTTAAATAACTTTTTATAGAATCTTCCTAAAACAGTGAAAAAAAGTATGTTTAGTAGTTAAATAGGAATATTAAAAAAAAATTATATAACATAATAAATTCTTTAATATTTATTACGTTAACGGAAATATGTAAATAAAGGTACTAAATAGTAGAAAGTAGGTAGTAAATAATGAGCACAGATTTGTATAACTCGTTTAGTCCATCCATCCTGACGAACACGTTTGTTGTGAGATTCTAGTTCCATTCTGAACTCTATAATTGCTCTCCCTCTTAAGTAAGCTGATGCTGATTATTGATTGATTTTCACCCATCACTAACGTAATCGACATTTTAGCTAAATCGAGTTATTAACATATTCTGGGATCATGGAAAAGAGATCTACAACCTCCTCTAATCGGGTTATTTAATATTTTATTTGGCTTCAGTTTTATTGTCAAGCAAAATTAGCGTAGCCGCATTTTTTAAATAAAAAAATCTTCATTCGTCAATATATATATTATTACCAAAATGTGACTGCGTTAATTATGACAAGGAGTGCAGAACTAACATTTTTTTATTAAATTACATTTTCACCTCACTAGCTCGCAAAGGCTTTCTTTCTCATTAGAAATCTGCTCGCAAAAACGTTTTTCAACGCTAGCATGGAAAAGGTTTTCGAAATTCGTACTTAACGATGGACTGTGGTGTACCTAACTTTTTATTTCGATGAAAAATAATTTAATGACACGTTGAACTACGCGATGTGTAGTTGTAGTACATTATTTATGTAATATAAATCCTATATTACATAAATATTTTACTTAAACATAAACAATAGCCTTATTAAATAGCTATTTGGTACTCATCGCGACTTCTGGTGTACATATAAGTACTCAACGTTGTATCGCGATTAGCAGTCGTCTTGAGGTCTTGGTTCAAGGTACCATACAAAAAAGTTCAAGAGCGTACAATATGTAACAAAGAGTATGGATCGAAAGGCACAATAAAAAAAATTGTATGTAAAATAATGTACTCTGTAACTAATAATAATTATTAAAGACTTAAGGCGATGAGTCGACGATCCTTTATGCACGCGGAGCAGTGTTCAAAAATTCTGTCAGGCCAGGGGGACTACTATGAGCTTATAGAGCAATCCTGTTTAGACCCGTAAGTTAGATTGCCTGTCAAATTCGTACTATGACCTCATAAAAATAATTCACTTTCCATGCAGTTTACGTTCCCCATTCGAAATCCATTCCTCTTTCTTTAATAGCAAAATCGTATCATGTAAAAGTAAGCAATTCAAAGAAATCGGTGTCATCGGTAAAAATAAGCAATTCAAAGAAAGTTACTGTGACTAACTTTTTTTAGATTTTGTTACATTTTTAAGAAATTTCGTTTCAGTTTTATTATATTTTCAGTTTCATAATTATTAGTTATCTTTTTAGGCTATATAGCCAATTGTCAATAAATAAATACTATTAACTATTGAGTGTTTTTTGAATATTTTAGTCCAAGTTTTCAATCTTTAAAGTATTGTTGATAAATCATTGGCATGAATGTTATTGAAATTTTTAAATGGAATTTTAATCATTTTATTGTCTTGTCGAAAATCACTAACTTAAAATAACTTTTAAATAGTGCCAAATTTGACTTTAAAGCAATCAATGAAAATGTACGAATACAAGAGACGTTCCAATAAAATTATGTCATCAAATTACAAACTCATCTTATTAATTTCAATGATTATGACTAGACATGACAAGTAATTTTGTCATACGACATATTGTAAAGTATGATTGAAAAGTTGCCGATATTACAAAACAACGTAATAAGTATAATCAACAATAAACTTAATAAAAAAAATATAATTATTCTCATTTTGAACACAATCGGTTAATAGTCTCAGATAGTACAGTCAAGAGCACATCAAGCTTGACACTTTGTACTTTTGTACTTTCTTATCGTAAGCAGCATAGAGTTGGATTTACGTCTTAAGTGTCAAGATTGACGTGCTCTTGACCTTGTACTTCTGTCTATTTCTTTCATACGATTTAGTATGTAGTTCAATCTCGCTCTCGTTAAATGTACACTAGTCAGCCAGAGACAATAATAAACGTTTAAAAAGTAAAACTCACCATTCTGCCATGCCATTCCTGTTCAACTTTGTGTAGGTCATGATACGAATTTAAACAATTCCGTTTTACCACGTCAAGAGAATTGCATGGAACTTGGCTGGTTACTTATAAGCTCATAGTAGGCCCCGTGATCGTGCTTTTCGTAGGAAGCTAAGCAAGTGATGGGTTTATTCAAAACGCAGGTCGACCGAAAACTCCCGTGTGCCAATATAATATAATTATGGAATATAAATAAATAAATATAACATGGAATTAAAACACTATTTATGTAGCTTTTGCAATATGCAGTTTTATATTCAATAAACGAAGCCGGAAATTTAAAAAATCTAAATTTTCCTTAAGACACGTAAAGTTTACCTGATTTCGCGTAACAAGCAACTAAAAATATGTAAATATTTTTATATATGTATAATATGTAAATATAATAACTACGCAAGCGAATATTATTGTCACAAAAAAAAAACTGCTGGTAATTCCGTGGGATATCAGTGGTGCGTGGATAATTCTTTAAATTTAAAAACTTTTGAATGCCTGAAATATTGTGAAAGCAAAAATTTGAAAGATATTTGCTATCACGAATAAAATTTAAATTTTAAAAATTAACAAACTTCCTCTTTTCTGATATTTTATTAAAATAATTGTATTTGTTTTAAGGATATTTCTAACCGTTTTTAAGGTACAGCTGCATTTTAGAAAACAGGCAATAGTGTTTTAAATACCTGTTCATATCATGATAATAAATATTGACTTGTGTTTTTATTTTTTCAATTGCAATATTTTTTATCATTTTTAAGTATAAAGATCAAAAAGCTTTGAAGTAAATTTTCTCCAAAACCTTATAAAATTGGTACACAAGAGTGTTCGTCCTGCGTTTGGAATATTAAAACGCATTACTTGCGATACTTCACTCGAAATATCTCTTTTCTCAATATTTTTTAACACCGTACCGTGCAATACAATCACATGCTAGCCTATTCGGTTAGTACAACAATTAAGAACAACGAAAAAGACCGTCGTCTGCGTCACGACAAACGCAAAAACGTCAACCAACAACTTAACAATCTAGAAATTAAATAAGCTCTCTTTTATTGCTTCTTCCGACTCCCAAACTTTATCTGGATCATGTTTCATTTTTTTCGATTTCTTAGGCGCTGGTTCTTCCTCATCCGTATGTAAATGTTTTCTCTTTTTACGAGGCACTTCCGCTTTGGTATCAACCACGTCGAGTTCAGTTTTCTCTTTCTTATGTTTTTTCTTTCTTTTCCTTTCACTTTTTACTTCTTGTACTTCTGCAAGCTCTTCATCCCGAAGCTCTACGGCTCTGAAACGAGCCTTTACTGCAGCAGGAATCTTCATAGCTCTTTTATAATCTGTTCCGAATAAAGGATGCCTACACTTAGTATCAGGCAGGGGTATAAAATTAGTCTGATTATTAACCATTACATTATCTTCAAAATAGTGTGGTCTAGGTATCTTTTTTTTAAAGTTGACCATACCATGTATTGACACATTCTTTATTACAGGATTCATTTTATGATAATTAAGAATAGTTACACTATTACAGTCTGTATTTAAGTTACCGTGAAAGGTTTGACTATCAATTTTCATTTTACATTTCTCATCAATAGTTATATCGGAGTTTTGTAGTTGTGTTACATCTATCCCGAGTGGGCATTTTAAAATCCAGACATCATCGTCTTTCGATATTAACGAATTTACTTCCCTTATCGATATTGGCTTCAAGTGTGGATTAGATTTTAGGTAGCGTCGTATGTTTTTGGACTCTGTAACTTCACTGGAGTCAGAAAGATGCCCGTTCACTTCAATTTCATCTTCAAATTGTATTCTGTCAGATATTTTATTAGTTCGTCGCGATTTCTTCTCCGATTGAACTTTAGTGCGTTTCTCTACTTGATCACTGTTGACCTCTCTCACATCATCACTTTCATTTATGTCCCCATTCGTATGCTCTACTTCTACCACCCTGAAAACAAATAACAATTGTATGTTAAAAATAAAATTTGTAACAAAGCCAATGAGGGAAGACTTAAGCTAAGTGAGAGCACAGACTGTAGGTTGTAACATGAAGAGGATTTTTTTATGATACCAAGTGACAGGATGAACAAATCGTGCGCCTGGTGTTAAGCGACACGTCTGTCAATAGTAGTTGCAGTGACATTAAGAGCTTTAAATCGCAAACACCTTTGGGACACTACCACTGCGCTTGTCACCCTGAGACATACCTAAATTGACAAGTCTCATGTGCCTGTAGTTTCTGCAGCACCCTTACCCTTAAAAACTGAAACATAGTAATGCTCACATTACTGCTTGGCAGCAGAAATAGGTGAGGTGGCAGTACTTTCCCCGACGAAATCTTTCACAAGGAGCTCTACTACCACTATGAGACATATCTGCAACTTCTAGGCCACTGTTGCTCTCAATTGGTCATACGAAACTCACTCCTGAGTAGACTGGGTACTAAGCCTCACCCAGTGGAGATAAAATAATCGGAGCTTAGAAAATCATAAACTTTTTTCATGCTGTTGGCCTTGGCTCCGAAATGTAACGATAAAGATAAATTTATTTCATTACAATTTAAGCCTTGGGGGTAGGTCGCCACTCGCGTCTCGCAATCCGCGCGCTATAAATGAATATGATTAACACAAATCCGACGTCAACAAATGCCCGATGACGACTGAAGGGGCAGCGAGAGGCGCGGCGTGTCGATAAATCGCTGGGCAATTTGCAAATTGTGGGATAATTTTCATTTAATAACTAATAGGGCTTCAGGTGAAAAACAAAATTTAGTAGGTTCTCTGTAATACTTAAAGATAAATATTACACATAAATATTTTATTCTCAAATAATTCGTTTTAGACTTTTATTTTAGCCTGTTTTCAGTTTTTATTTATATAGGGTACCTATTTCATTAGCTGTAGGTAGATTTTGACAGTTCATAGCGGGAATGTTGTTGAGCCTGCTTTTGTCAAATCTATTGTTTATTTTTCAGGCACTAAAGACAAATCATTATGGCAAGTTACAGCGTCGAGGAACACGTGATGATAATAATAAAAAAATATTATCAAAATGGGTGTTCTATTATGGCAACGATGCGCGCGTTGCGCCCATTATACCTACGGTTTACGTGGTCGTCCTTCCCAGTCAACTTCAACGTTTGGTGGCCAAATTCGAGTGGACCGGTTCAGTGAACCATTAGTTAACATCCATACGTCAACGAAACGCAAGATCTGCTGAAAACATCGCGGCTGTTCAGGAGTACTCGAGGCAGTCTATTACGCGTGCATCGATGCCACAGCAGAACACTCAAGAAACGAGGAATATATTCATAAATAAAGATTTACTGCGTGCGTACAACTAGAAAATTCGTCTAGAACAACCGCGATGTTCTTTTGACCACACCCTTTTATTTCTTATATAATTCTAAATACAAAATAAACCAACCAGCGCTACTCGCTGTCCTGCTAAGCGGAAAGGCGCTCTCTCTCTCTCTCTCTGATATACACCCTTTTAGATTTTTTTTATATCCTTCAATAGCTAATAATTTCGTATCTAATGGTATAATAGAAATAGCGCTAACTTAAAACTTTTAAAAAACCACTAAGAAGTATTTTTATGTCTCAATTTTTAAAACCTTTCTTTATAATAAAAATAGCAGTATCTCAGAAAATAGGTATAATGGTACAATTTATGGATAATTTGTCAATAAATCTATTAGTCAAAAATACGTATCAATAAATTTCAACATCTTCAAATCTTATTTTTGACGGTGCGTTTTCGCACAATATACAATTTACGAAAAATTACTCTAAAAAAATTAAGGCTATAAATGTTTTTAAGCCATTTAGATGACATTGGTACATAAGTGGTAAGTATTCTAGGCGCTTGGTGAAGCGTTCCTTCAATTCTATTATTTGCTGAGGTGTTGATGTTCCGGATAGTGTTCCAAATTAATTTGCTCGGCCAATCTTGTGACTCACCATACAAAGAATTCCACAATTCTGAGACCTGACTATTAATGTTATCTAGTACATAAAAAGACACAAGATGGCATAAAGATAATCAAGTAGAACATGAACCCCATTGTACGCATTACAATATTTTGGTAGTAATATAAATAATTTCAGTAAAAAGTTTCAGCACAAAAAAATATTCTATTTAATTTTTTTCTTTCAATTTTTAGCAGATTTTTTTTCAAGGTAACTTTGACACCCCATACTGTAAAAAAATGTACCTAGACTACCATGGCAATTTCTTACAAAAGTTGGCGCTAGTTGCGCCAACTTATACCACAAAAAAACATGACTCAGATTTTTTTTTTTCTGGGTTGTTACAAACTTGCCAACATCCTGTTCCCAGGCTATCATTGAGTTTTGGGACAACCTGTATAAAATAAAAAAATATAATATAAAAACGGATGCACATGGAGTCTGGCACACCTTGGACAACAATCGCCAAGTACTTTACGCAGATTGGCAAATCCTTTCACCATGACAGCAAGCATTGCAGTTTATGCCGTTGACACAATAAGAAAAATATTAAATAATAATTACCAGTGATAGGAAAAGGCAGTAAATATTTACCTAAACTTTATGTAATACACATAAGAGTGGATAATACCTCTCTTTGAAATTCTGGTATGATTCTTCAAGATATATTACTGTAGTAAAGTTATTGCTAATTTATAAGGCTTATTCAGCCTGTTTTTTGTTGTCTGACTCAATACTAAATACCTATGAGCAGCAGGAGGAGGAATATGTAAAAAAAAAACACAGTAAATTATCATGCAAAATTTTATGAATGCTGAATGTACATTGTAAGCTCATACATGATTACATCTTTACCTAAAAGATGAAAGAAAATGTAATAAAAGTAAATTATTTTTTACACAACCAAAACAATGGTCTATTCTATATATACCTAGTCTGTCTTTTTTAAAGACGGAGTAAAATGACATTTGTAGGGTTGCCAGTTTTCATAAAATTTTAAACAGTTATGTAGTTGTTGTCGATAGTTTTATCGACAGATTGTGAAAGAAGTTAAAATTTTGCCAAAAATTACTGAATTGTCAATGTTACGACTTTCTAATGATTACTAATTGCATTATTGCCTTCTTTATTCTTATTTTGACAGTTGGCCTACTAGTATCGAGATTAATTTTTATTCACGCAGATTTTAACAAAAATAGACGGATTAAAAACTTTATATATGTCTTCTCTTCATATTTTTCATAGATATCATTCTAAATGTGTTATTTATATGTATGAACCATTGACCTACCAACAAATGGACATCAGGTCTAATACAAAAACCACGTCCGAGATTAACCTATACAAATGTAGTGATGTGTAACAAAATATAAAAAACTAAAACATTTAATTTAAATTGTAACATCATTGCAGTACTGCCTAAATTTAAAAAACACCATATTCAGCTTCTACTGGAAACTAAACAAAATTAATCCTATTTAGCTTCGACTGAAAATTATTTGAACACAAGAGTAATTGAATAGCCTTTCTCGTAAATATTAATTAATTTTGTTATATATATTATTAAGTCGAATTTTGTACAAATTCACTTAAAGATTAACAAAGAGTTGGGCAGATCATACATGCAAATATTACTACAAATGTGAAAATAAGCGTGTACTATAAGAAATGTACCAATATTCTAACTAAACGTAAACTCAAATATCCGTAATTCTGATAAATAATAAAACCGTTACGCTTTCGAGTAATTTTGATGCTTTTTACATGGAAAAAAATTAGCTTATGTTTTGTAACCTTCGTAAAAACACATTATGAAAATTCAAGCTTATGTTATTTCGGGCACATGTACTTACAAAACTTGACAATTCAAATGAACTTGTGCTCAGTAACTGGATGAATATTGGGTTGAGAATGATTCAAATGAAACAAGTTCAGCTATTTATTCCATAAGCATAAACAACATTCAGTCGATAGTCAATAGAATAATTTATAACTGCAATCACTAGCTGCTTGCAGGCGGTCAACACTTTTGCGTAAGGAGACGTCACTTTACTACATCTTCAAAACAGACATATATAGAACTAAATATAGAAACTAAAATAAACTATCAAACAGATAGATATAGAAATAATAGAATAGACTTATTATTATATTAATATACTCATGAGTAAATAAACACTAACAAAATCAACCAAATCATATTAATGCATAACTTTCTCAAACTCGTATCTCATAAAGAGTGATTATTGAGGACATGGCAAAACTTTCCATTTATTTTAAATATTTTATCAAGGGTGCTAATTTGGATGCATTACTTTAAGAATAGATAAAAGACTGTGTGAATATGAAGGAAATGTGATGTGAAATCAGCCTGTGAGAATGTATACATTCATCCACACATTACACAATACATACACACAACACATTTTTGCATTTCAGTCACTTAGTGGTTTAAGATACGAGTTTCAGAAAGTAAGACGACGAATAATGTACGTACTTATTATTTGCAGACCAAAGTAATATTAAGTTTTTGAAAGTTAATAAAATTGAAGTGGAATAAACAATTACCTAGTTTCTTTCTTAATTTAGTCATAAACTAGAAAAATTGTACTATTTATTACAACTAAAATTAATGAGTGGTATTTTTCGTGGCAATTTTTTTTTTTACGTGCTCTCTAATCAAGTCGAATAGTTTGGCAGAATAATTCTGTATTCAGTCAGGTACTGAATTACTATTGGACACTACCTATTAATTACATAAAACATGGAACAAAATACAATACAATGATTCCTGGATTTCAAAGGGAGGTGATATCCACACTGTGTATTATTTTGATGAAGTTTAGGTTAATATAAATACATTTTTACCGCTTCTTTTTAAGTATCTTTCTTGTGACATTAGCCCTAAAAGCACTTACATATTGTCTCTCTCGTCACTAGAATCCGAAGCTTCCGTCCACGCAAAGCTGTCATTGGAAGAATCCATTTAAATACGTTTTCATTTCTGCATTTCGTTGAAAAATAGCGTTGGGTGGATCATAACCTCAACACATTAAACACCACAAACCACAACTACGATACACAATGAACCACAGACTACTTACGATTGTTTATATTTTTTTTTCTTAATAATTTTGGCTTGGATACAAGTTCTTTGAGCTATGTCTTCGTTTAATTATGTTTTTGTTTCTGTAATTATGGCCGCCACAAAGATGATAGGCAATTTGAGGAGCGTGCTTGGATGGACTCGGGATTCCTTAGAACTTTTTTAGAGATTCGTATAATTTCGCGTTTTAATCTTCGATTAAGGCACAACAGCAATATCCTATTCCACTTTAAACTAAATTTCACAAAATAATTGAATGTCAAAATAAAAACGACACATTTCCTGCAAAAGGCCCAGAGCGAATCTAAATTGTTTATAGTCTATGTAATGCGAGTAGAGATGAGATTAACTGCTATATAAATGATAAATGCTAAATTTTTATAGCGCGCTATTTAAAGTGCTAAAATTATAAATTTAAGAGCTCAAGGTCGTGTAACGAATGGAAAGAAACGTGAAATAGTTATAATGACGTGCGCTAACTTATGTATAGCATCTATGGTCTATCTACAGATTAGTTTATACAATTTTTTATGATTAGTTACGACCGACTTCATTTGTTTTGTAACTATTACATATTATGGTGGTTACAGGTTATAGACGATAAATCAATGAGCTTCCCATCATACTTTAACAATTTACTATTTACAATTTGCACAAAACTTTACACTGCACTGGTTATTTACAGTAAATTATACTCATAATAATTAATAATAACGCACTCGTACTTTTATATACAAATATTACAACGACTTATTATTTAAACAAACGCTAAACTAACTAAATAAATCCAAGTACTTCATTATATCTTAATTTAAATCGCTTCTCCAGACGAAATTTTGCTAACGTTCCACCATTAATAAATAGTTCCATTTTTAATCATAGTGTAATTTTAATCTAATTTTTAATCTAATTTTTAAATTTTTATATTTTTAAATTTAATTATATGTAATTTTGTAAATTAATGGGATTTATGCCTAAATAAATAAATTTATTATTATTATTATTAGCTCAAAATCGTATTAAAACGTAACCAAAATTATAATTTATTATTAACATAACTACAATTCGAATACTTGTTAAGTGCCAAATATAGTATTACCGCTTAGCGTACTCAAACGTGAAAACATCAATAAACCAATCAGGTATTTCGCGTTTCGCATAAATGCTACAAATATTATTATGTGAAAGTATTTCACGTTATAATTGTTTCAACCAATGACAAGAGCAATTTTCACATAGAATGTAGTGCCATCTATGAAATATTAAGGGAGATAACTCAGGACGAAGAAGGATTTTGTTTGTTAGCTGCGTAAGTAAAGCACGGATAGATTGATGGTATGGCATCGAAATATTGTAAAATTATGGCGCTAGGTGGCATTTGGTTTAATTTTCTTAACGTATTCCAATCCAAAGTGAAAAAAAGTTCGTAATAATTTTAGCCCTTATGTCTCTCAAATTATAATTGTTATAATTCGTTTTTGATTTAACGTTATAATTTAAGCTATATATTATATTAACCATCTCTAAATGCGAGTGATGTTGTAATGGTAACATCACGGAGTGATGTTTGTAAGAGACATCTCATGTAATAGATGAAAGGTAAGTACGCGAAAATCGAAATGCAATGTAAATGCATCTAATTTGGAATATTGCAGTTGAACGATGTTTGTATTAGTACCCAAATTATTTAATAACTTACTAAATGGTGTAAAAGGATTAAACCGTAGACAATTTAAAATGAAATTGCATAATTTGTTAATCAGTGCTTGGTTAAATATAATATTTAAATTTTTCTAGGTAATCTAGAAGGAGATGGATATGCTTTCATACAATCAATCCAAGTTGTAAAAACATGAAGGTGGTATCAGTTAATAGCGTAGGTATTGATATACCATCACTGAAAATTCTGCGAATTGAACTGAGAGTAGACCTATGAGAGATTTAGTAAAAGCATTGACTCACAATTATATGGACGTCGGGTCCGCGCTAAAAAGTGTCCGCACTTGTAAGGCGCTAAAATCGTATACAGAGCGCCAAACTCCGCTTTAGTCTTCATTTGTTCGACTGACAGCGCGATACTGCGATGACATTACAATTTAAATTTCGAATAGGTTGACTTTGGACATTTTTTTCGTGGTTTTAGACCCGTCGTCCATTTATTTGTAAGTCAATGAGTAAAAGCTGACTGTCTAATTTTTGGAGTGCATTTGTTATTTTACAACTTACTAGACGGTGTAAACGAATCAAACCGTACACATTTAAAATGTAATTGCATAATTTGTTAATCATTGCATGATTAAATACAATATTTTGATTTATTTACCTGGTAATTTATAATGTAAAATTTAACCAGGGTGAGTGTAGGTTGCCAGACGGTTCTTAATATTTCGTAAGTTTTGTTTGATTCTTTCGAGTAATATGTAAGTAGATCTTGTTTATAGTGCAAGTTTAAGTTCTACAAATGCGTTTCATAGGTTGTTTTAAAACGCGTCGCGTCTTTAACCGACTTTAAAAAAAGGAGGAGGTTCTCAGTTCGTCGGTGTAATGTTTTTTTATGTATTAGACTGTGATGTTGTGGGTAATAGTGATATCACAGTGTAATACCACTTTTACGGGAATGTAATGTGATATCGCATGACTTTTCCAGGTACTGTTATGCGCACGTCTACTGCGCAATATAGCGAGTCGTTGCGTACTTGCGCTGCTAATGCTATTACAAAAAAAACTATTTATGAGACGTTTAAGTGTGGGAATACACGTCCGATTTTTCCATCCAATAGTCGGATCCGACCATCAGACATAATCGGACGTGTATGCCCGCGCTAAGAGGTAGTTACAGTTTTTTCACATATTATTAATTCAGGGGGAACGTCACGGTTTATGTAATCTTACAATTTAAAGTACTATCTGTACGGCAACTGTACCTGCTTCTGACTTTAATGCGTCAACACTCAATCAAGTCAACACACACACACACGCATGCGGACGCGCACGCGCACGTGTTGGATATATCCCAGAGTTATTACTAAAGTACTTAACTGTATTATATAGGGAAGTCAATTATCTAAAGAATTCAAAAGCAGAGTTATAGTAAACCAAGTTTTATTTTAATATAGGGTAAAACAAAATGTCAATTAACAGTATAACAGTAAACCTAAGCAATTAAGACCAGAATCACTACCAGAAACATAATTCAGTTTTAATCAATTATGCCAGCATTAAACTAACAAAAAAAATGTTACAAGTGATTTAAAAATAACAGGATAGACAAGTGAAACTAATGGCACTATTTCTAAAACTCAAGGATTAGTTTTAAGCACTGACATGTTTTAAGGTACTAGTTAATACAAAATTATAGCAAAGTGCTAAAAAAAACTAATTAAAATGGACAATTGGAAACAATAAGTATTTATAACGGATTTCATACGTTTAGGTACTGAATCTATACCAAAGCCCAGGGACATTGGTCCTATTTACACAACACAATTACACAGTAGCAAAGCAGTAAAACAAGTTACAAAAAAGGTACTTAACTTTTCCTGGTTGAGGGTTCGGCACTTTTTAATAATGAATCACCCCAGCCTTACATTCCTTTTTATACCCTTCAAAACCTCCTTTGAAAATTTACTCATACACATACTATTTTGGCCAATCACAAAACAGTAGTTGTTTACATTTGTACCGTGCTGAAGATAATTAAAACGTTTACCTAATAAGTTGTTAAAACATATTTAAAGAATTGTAACTATTATATAAACCTCGTAAATGTTTTAATTTAGCAAATATCATCAATTTTATGTACCAAAATATCAGCCAATCACAGAACAGTATTGTTTGACTCACTTGGTTGAACATTAATTTAAAATGTTATACATTACAAAGGTGTAAAGATAATCTTCGTGAATACTATAATTAGTATAATAATTATACAAGATTCGCAATCGTCTAGTTTAGCTAATTATCATTAATTTTAGAAACCATAACATAATAGTCCATAAAAAGTTGAACGAAAACGGAACTTTTCAAAATGCAATTGTGTAATTGTTATAGGCAAATTGTGATGTATTATTTCAAACAGTCAATTAAAATTCAAATAAGAATTATGAAACCATAAAAATGAACTGATATTATGTATTTTATAAAATTAATGTTTTACAAAATCTGTTGCAAAGCAAACTGACTTACAGAGACATCTATATTTTTTACGAGGAACCAAGTGCCAACTTATAGATAAATTTTACGCAGAATTTGTAGATCGCGTTAATTAATGCCAAAATAAAAATGCTATCACACGCACACGCGCACGCGCACTCGCACGCGCACTCGCACGCGCACGCACACGCACACGCACACGCACACGCACTCGCACACGCACACGCACACGCACTCGCACACGCGCACGCGCACGCGCACACGCACACGCACACGCACACGCACACGCACACGCACACACACACACACACACACACACACACAAACACACACACACACACACGCGCGCGCGCGCGCGCACACACCCACACATAGCTATATTACAAGCTTATGCTTAGTTTAGGTACCAGTCTTTTGCAAACATAATATAAACATTATTTTTGTCTCTTTCTTTTGTTCATGTTCAGTTGTTATGTTTGTGGAGAGAAATAGGAAGGACTGTACATTACCATCGCACGATTTGAGGGGTGGGAGGGGGGGGAGGGGAGGGGACCCTTCGTGCAAAGTTTCAAAGTTAGGAAGTTAATAGTTTTCGAGATATTAATTTTTTTAAATTCGAAAAAAATAACCTCAAAAAAATTATGTTTTCGCACCAAAGAGCGGGGTAAACCCCTCCCCACCCACAACAACAAATGGCAAGTTGGGTATCGTTTCCGAAATATTTGGGGGTACTCATTACTCATTTACTTCTAAATCTAAGATGGCGGACACGACTTTTCAAATATATGCAATATGGTTATCATTTT